CTTCTAGTGCGGGGACACTGAGGTAGGGTGCCGGAGAGGCATTGTCACTCCTGTTGTTACTGTGCTCCGGGTGTGGGCACTGGGGACACGGCAGCCAACAGGCGGACAAAATCCCTGCTCTTGGGGGCTTCCACTGTCGTGGGGGAGGGGAGGAGGGTATGGAAAATAAGTATATTGAGAATGGGGGCCCGGAGGGAAGAAAAAGCGGTAGAGGGGATAGAAGGGAGTGTGTGGGAAGGCAGACGAGGTGAGGATGGTGACATTTTGAACCTCACCCAGGAGGTGATACGTGAGCCAAAGTGATAGGAGAGAAGTCAGAGGGAGCCAAGTGGGTATCAGAGGGAGAGCATCTCCAGGTGTAACCTGGAACCAGACGGCAAGGGGTGCAGGCAGCTCCTAACCTGGAAGCTTGGACTCTTAGTCCCTGCAGAAATGGATTTTGAGCCTCTGCAGGGACTGTTCTGGTCAGGTGGGCACAGTGATATTTCTAGGCTGGAGTCTTGAGGGGATGAGGTGGGCCGGGACATGGAGGCCCTTCCTAACGATGAAGAATATGTGTGTAGGATGGGTCTTGGGGCAGGGGGTGTTCCTAGGTTTTCTGTTCCTTCCTTGGCTGCTTTGCCTAACCTGGGGCCAGGAGGGCTTTTCCACCGACATTGGCTGGACCCTTACAGCCCAAGGCCACTGTGGGGAATGGCCTGGGCACAACACAGTCACCAAGGAACCCTTCTGGGATCCATAATCCTGGACCCTCCCAGCTGGAAGGAACCCCAGAAGTGCACCACCTCACCATGATTCATCTGACTGGATTCAGCCAACACTTGTTGGTAAGCCTTGTTTGCCAGTTGAGGGGACCTAGAGTTGCCCCAGTGCCATGTAGTCGCTGAGGGGCCAGGGGTCCCCTCCATAGCCTTCCTACCACACCGCGCTGCTGGAGGCTTCAAGTTGAGCACAAATTTGCTTTCTGCAGCTGCCATGGTGAGGGCTAAGAGCCTCGGTCACTGACCACTTGCTGTGTGACCTTGAGCAAGTGGCTTTGCCTCTCTGGGCTTGCTTCCCCATCTGCGAAATGCAGATAAGCACTCTACAAGTGCTTGTTAGGGGAGCCAGCTGTGTGCCTCAGTTTCCCTGTATGATAATGAGGGAGAGATTAGGGGAATTGATTTTTTCCCCAAGGATATATGATTATCAGGCAATTGCTGGGGAGGGTATTTTGTGGGGTGTTTTTTGTTTGTTTTTGGCCAAGACCTCTGGCTTGAGTGTCTCTCTCTACTCAGATAGGAACTTGGTCCCCTCAGCCTCTGAGCCCTGTCCGATGGCCCCTGCAGCTCTCTCCAGAGCATCTCTCTCCCTTCCTGCTCTCTCACTGTCTCCTTTCCCATACTGAAACACACAAGCCCATTCCCTCTGGGCCTTTGTACTTGACTGCCCTTCACCCATCCCTTCCTCCTGTCAATTTCCACTTGCTTGGCTTCAGCTCACCAACCACCCCCTTAACTAATGAACTTTATTTTTAAGAGCAGTTTTAGGGTTACAGAAAAATTGAGCAGTACAAAGTTCCCATATACCCTGTACCACCCACCCAGTTTCCCCTATTAGTAACAGCTAGCATTAGTGTGCTACGTTTGTTACAATTGGTGAACAGATTATTATTAGCTAAAGTCCACTTTAGTTAGGGTTCACTCTTTGTGTTGTACATTCTGTGGGTTTTGACAAAGTGCATAGTGTTCTATATCCACATTATAGTGTCACATGGAGGTTTCATTGCCCTACGAGTCCCCTGTGCTCCGTCTATTCATCCCTCACCCTGAATGCCTGGCAACCTCTCATCTTTTTGCTGTTTCCATAGTTTTGCTTTTTCCAGAATGTCATATAGTTGGAATCACACAGTACAGTCATGTCTCAGTAGCCACAGGGGGACTGGTTCCAAGACCCACCCGTGGATACAGAAACCCACCGGTGTTCAAGTCCCTTATATAAAATGGCATAGTATTTGCATATAACCCACACACATCCTCCTGTGCACTTTAAATCATCTTTAGATTACTTGTAATACCTCATACAATGTAAATGCTACGTAAATAGTTGTTAAAGGCCGGCCTGGTGGCGCACTGCTACAGCGCGCCGCTTGGGAAGCGCGGTGGCGCTCCCGCCGAGGGTTCGGATCCCACATACAGACCGGTTCCCGCTCACTGGCTGAGCGAGGGGCGGGCGCAGCACCGAGGGTTGCGATCCCGTTGCCGGTCCCGGTCCGGTACGGGCGCGACACTGAGGGTTGCGGTCCGTTGCCGGACATGAAAAAAGACAAAAAAGAAAAAAAAAATAGTTGTTATGTTGGGTTTTTTTTACTTGTATAATTTTAAATTTTTTTCTGAATATTTTCAATCCACAGTTGCGACACTGAGGGTTGCAGTCCGTTGCCGGACATGAAAAAAGACAAAAAGGAAAAAAAAATAGTTGTTATGTTGGGTTTTTTTTACTTGTATAATTTTAAATTTTTTTCTGAATATTTTCAATCCACAGTCGGTTGAATCGCAGATGTGGAGTCTGTGGGTACAGAGGGCCGACTGTATGTAGCCTTTCCGACTGCCTTCTTTTACTGAAGAATATGCATTTAAGGTTCTTCCAGGTCTTTTTGTGGCTTGATAGTTCATATGTTTTTATCATGGAATAATATTTTGTTACTGAATATACCATAGTTTGTCCATTCACCTGTTGAAGGACATCTTGGTTGCTTCCAGTTTCTGGCAATATTGCTGTTATAATGAATATATACTGAATAAAGCTGCTATGAACACTCACGTGCAGGTTTTTGTGTGGACATAAGTTTTCAGATTAATTGGGTAAATACCAAAGAGCATGGTTGTTGGATCATGTGGCAAGAGTATGTTTAATTTTGTAAGAAACTGCCAAACTGTCTTCCAAAGTGGCTGCACCGTTTTGCAGCCCCACCAGCAGTGAAGGAAAGTTCCTGTTACTCGTAGGCATCTGATGTCAGTGTCCTGGATTCTGGCCATTCTAATAGGTGTGTAGTGGTATCTCACTGTTGTTTTAATTTTCATTTCCCTGATGACATATGGTGTAGGGTATCTTTTCATATACTCATTTACAATCTGTATATATTTTGGGGGGAGGGGTCTGTTCAGATCTTTGGCTCATTTGTAAATTGGGTTATTTTCTCATTAAGTTTTAAGAGTTCTTTGTATATTTCAGACACGCATCCTTTATCAGATATGTCTTTGGAAAGATATGCTCCCAGTCAGTGGCTCCTCTTTTTTACTTTCTTAACAGTACCTTTTGCAGAGCAGAAGTTTTTAATGTTAATGAAGTTCAACTTATTAATTTCTCCTTTCATGGATTGTGCTTTCGGTGTGTCTAGAAAGTCATTCCCAAATCCAAGTTCACCTCGATTGTCTCTTAGGTTATCATTTAGAAGTTTTATAGTTTTGCATTTTACATTTAAGTGAAGGTCCATTTTGAGTTCGTTATTTTATCACTATTATTATCATTTTTGCATGTGGATGCCTGGTTCCATTACCTGTTATTGAAAAGGCTGTCCTCGGCTCATCTTCTGTAATTTTCAGCCGAAGGCTTCCTCCCGCCCTGCCCCGCCCCCGCTTTCCAGCCTGTGTAGTTCATTTCTCTACCCTCTTTTGTGTTTGTTCCATAGCGCTTTTCACCATTGCAGATGATTTTTATTTACCTGTTTGCTTTTTTCTGTCTCTCCCACATGTAGTGTGTGAGCCTCAGGGAGGATGGGAGCTAGGTCTGTGTTAAATCCACTGTGTTCCTCGAGCTCAGCCCTGCACACAGTAGGCACTTGATATTGGTGGATGGATGAGAGAGCAGGAGTGGATTTATCTCTCAAAGTTACTCAGAGAAGCTTCTCCAGGTGGCTCCCCACTCTTGCAGGGTCCTCTCTATATGTCCTTCTCCTTTTCCTGGCTAGGCACTTGATATTGGTGGATGGATGAAAGAGCAGGAGTGGATTTATCTCTCAAAGTTACTCAGAGAAGCATCTCCAGGTGGCTCCCCACTCTTGCAGGGTCCTCTCTATATGTCCTTCTCCTTTTCCTGGCTTCCCACAGACCTTCCATGTCACCATGAGTAGTGAGTTGAAAGGGTCCCCCCCAAAGAGAAATGTCTAGGTCCTAACCCCTGGTACCTGTAAATGTGACCTTACTTGGAAATAGGATCTTTGCAGATGTAATTAAAGGTCTTGAGATGAGATCATTGGGGTTGAGTGTGGGCCTGAAATCCAGAGACAAGTGCCCTTATCAGAAAATGGATACAGAGACACAAACACAGAGAAGACTGGAGTAAAGTAGCTGCAAGCCAAGGAACTGCTGAAGCCTCCAGAAGCCAGAAGAGAGACATGGGACAGGTTCTGTCTGAGAAATTCCAGAGGGTATTAACCCTGCTGACACCTTGATTTTGGACTTCTGGCCTCCAGAGTTGTAAGAGAATAAATTTCTGTTGTTTGAACCCCCCAGTTTGTGTCTTTTATTTTGTCAGCCCCATGAAACTTGTACATCTTGGTAACCAGCTCTTCTCCCACCTGGCTTCCTCTCCCGACAGGGAACCCCTCAAAGGCAGAGGCTGCCTTCACTCATTTCTGTGTCCCCCAGGGCCCCGCTGTAGACCCGGCGTTAAAAGAAACATGATGCGAAGGTAATGCCCACCCTCCGAGGACCTCGGGGGCAGCGTGAGACACTTCTGCAGAGTGCCCGGCCAGCAGAACCAACACAGACAGCCACCAACACATGGGAAGAACGTGAACTTGAGTTGCCGCTTTAGCTGTGTGACCTTAGGCAAGCCACTTAACCTCTCTGAGCCTCAGTTTCATTGTGAGACCATGAGATGGCATGTGTAGACGTTCAGCAGTACTTGCCACCCGATCATGGGGATGAATGAATGAGCCAGTTAGAAGATCCCGGGCAGGCCCCGTGGGACCTCTCGCCCTGGGAGAGGCTGGGCACCAGGAGCAGGCTCGGAGCACAGCCCCACCCATGCTCTTCTATCAACCTGCTGTCCACACTGCACCTACCTGTGCAGGTGCATGATCTTGTGAAGTTCAGGTGAGGATGATGTTGGAGAAAGAGCGCTGGACTTGAAGTCAGATTCCCAGCCCTGCTTCTTGCTAGTGGACAACTTGTTCTCAAAGCTTCACAGCCCCAGAGCAGCGTGTCCTATCAGCTGCTGAGTTGGTTAGTACAAGGCACATGTCTGAGGGTTATGGGGTCAGTAAGTAAAGTGATGATGCCAAAGCTAAGTAAATGGTCATGTCCTTCCCGTCTCCCTAAGTGTCACTGCTAAGGTCCTCAAGGGGAGCGACTAGCTCTGCGTCTGTGCCCTCATGTCCCTCTCTCACAGTTGGGAAGTTTATGCCTCTTGGAGGGTGGGTGTTACCTTCACATTTATCTCAAATGCACTGATGATAGTTGCTTTGAGCACTGCCCTGACACAGATTCTGAGATTGTATCTGGGCTCAGTGCTTAGAAACAGTGCTGATGGATCGGTTGTGTCCATCCGTGATTGACAGGTGATGTCTGTCACCAACAGAGGATTGGATAAGCCAGGCTGTCTTCAAGGGATCAGGCAACTTGCAGATCAGAAGTTTTTAGCCTGCGCCACAAATAAATGTCGAGCTCCCTCTTCATGTCCTGCAGAAGTTAAAGAAGTGTGTGGCTTGGGCTGGCCAGTTAGCTCAGTTTTTAGCCTGAGCCACAAATAAATGTCGAACTCCCTCTTCATGTCCTGCAGAAGTTAAAGAAGTGTGTGGCTTGGGCTGGCCAGTTAGCTCACTTGGTTAAATCCTGGTGTTATAACACCAAGGTCAAGGATTTGGATCCCAGTACTGGCCAGCCACCAAAATAAAAAAGGAATCTCCTTTCACTGGGCCCTGGACATTTCTAGTATCCTTTAACACTTTCCACTTTTTTTCTTCTAGAGTCTAGATCGCCTCTCTCCTTACCAGCTGTTTTGCCCCAAATAACAATTGTGTGCATTTGGCCCAGCTCCCAAGGGCAAGCACTCCAGAATTCTCCAGAAAACACGTCACGTAAAATACAGCTGAGCTTCCAAGGCTAGTTATGAGTTCTCTGGAGGAGTTACGGTCACATTATAGCAGCAACTGGATGGTGAGTCCCAGCTGGGCTGATCGGGTTATTTCTGCTTAGGTTTGCGTAACTCTTTTGGGGCCTGTTACCCAACTCAGTTCCCCGTGTCACAGAGATGTTTGCTAGCTCTGGGTTTTTTGAGGATGCAGAGAGGTGCTGGCGGGGACACCCCCTGCAAGTGGGCTTCTTAACCTCAGGTCACCTTACCACTGCTGTGCTCAGAGCCAAGGGCCAATGAGGAAGGTGACTTTATGGTGTGCCTCGCTGTCTCTGAAGTTTTCTTATTGCTCTAAGGACAATGAAGTCACAAGTGCGTGGGGGGAGGGACGGGACTGTATTTTACTGATGACGAATGGATTTTCATCAGAATTCCTCATCCTCTTCTCGCCAGCCAGGCCACGACTGCCTCAGTCTCATTGACACACAGGACAGAAGACGGGGAGGGAGCAACATTTATTGAGCACCTGCTGTATGCCGGGCCCCATGCTGAGGAGTTACATGTGTTTTCTCAATGCTTGCACTAGGTCTGTTCAATGAGGTGAGTAACGGGGAGGTGGGCCAGGGTCTGCACCTGCAGCCAATGACCTTGAGTGAACATGTTTTCTTTTTGAACTTCAGTCCCTCGTCCATCAAAGGGGCATGATAGCACCTGCCCTGTCATGTGTTTATGACGATAGGAGACACTGTGCATGAAGGACTTTTCCTAGAAGAGGCCTTCTATCGCTGGTAGCTATTTTTATTTACTTAAATCAGGGTTGGCAAACCATGGTGTACAGCTAAAAAAAAAATTCTTTATATGTGTATGCCAATGATAATTATATACATGTAGGTAAGTGAGTATAAATTTTTTATGGAGATGAAATTCACCTAACGTGAAATTAACCATTTTAAAGTTCACACTCAGTGGCACCGAGTACCTTCACAACGTTTGTAAACATCACCTCTGTCTAGTTCTAGAACATTCTCATCACCCCAAAGGAGACCCCGTCCCCATCAGCAGTTACCCCCTTCCCCCAGCCCCTGGCAACCACCACTCTGCTGCCTGTCTCTCTGTGGATGTGCCTGTTCTGGACATTTCATATGAATGGAATCATACAAGACGTGGCCAATACGGCTTTTGTTTGACCCATGAGCTAAGCGTGGTTTTTACATTTATGAATAGTTGGCAAAAAACCAAAAGAAGAATCGTATTTCGTGATACATGAACATTCTTTGAAAATCAAATTTCGCATCTATGAATACGTTTTGTTGATACACGGCCAAGCCCATTCATGTCTATGGCTGCTTTCTTGGGATAACAGCATAGTTGAGTCATTTCGAAAGAGACCGTATGGCCCACAGAGTGGAGAATATGGACTCTCTGGCCAGCGCTTGCAGACATTAGCTCCATACCCGGGGAGAAGCTGGCAGAGTTGTCTTCAGACTCCGAGGTCTGGACTGTCTCCCCAGACCATCGCTGCCTCTCTGTATGCATTTAACAGAGGCTTATGGAATATAGTGGTCACCCCTTATCGGAGGTTTCCCGCAGCCGACTGCGGTCCGAAAATATTAAATGGAAAATTCCAGAAATAATTTGCAAGTTTTCAATTGCATGCTGTTCTGAGTAACGTGATGAACTCTTGTGCTGTCCCGCTCCGTCTCACCTGGGACGTGAATCGTCCCCTTGTCCAGCGTCTTCAGGTTGTCTGTGTCAGTCACTCAGTAGCTGTCTCTGTGATCAGATCGATTGTCGTGAGATTGCAGTGCTTGTGTACAAGTCACCCTTATCTTACTTCATAATGGCCCCAAAGCTCAGGAGTAGTGACGCTGGCAATTCGGATGTGCCAAAGAGAAGCTCTAAAGTGCTTCCTTGAAGTGAACACGTGAAAGTTCTTGACTTAATAAGGAAAGGGAAAAAAAACCATTTGCTGAGGTTGCTGAGATCTGCGGCAAGAACAAATTTTCTATCCATGAAACTGTGAAGGAAAAAGAAATTTATGCATGGTCGATACAGGGTTTGGTAAGTCCGTGGTTTCAGGCACCCACCGAGCGTCATGGAACGTGTACCCCGCGGATAAGGGGGGACTACTGTACTTCTTAAGGGGGAGGTGCTGTGATACAGGGTTTGGTAAGTCCGTGGTTTCAGGCACCCACCGAGCATCATGGAACGTGTACCCCGCGGATAAGGGGGGACTACTGTACTTCTTAAGGGGGAGGTGCTGGAGAGTGAGCTCCCAGCCGAGTAGGGGGCTGTGGGTGGTAAGTGAATGTCTAGCCAAATAAAGTTGGGGCTACACACTGATGGAAACCATGAGGGAAAAGTAAAGGCTGCTTTTGTTATCAGGGCAGGATGATGGGGCTGTGACTTGACTTGTGTCAGGGATGGGGTGGGTAGGAAAGTCCTCTTAAGCAGAAACTTAAAGGCCGAGGGGTGTTATTCAAGAGAGGGACAAATCTGAAGACACCCTTTAGGGCCACGGTTTGTACAGCACCAACATTGGGGACATCTCAAGCACCTGATCGTAAAGGTACAGTTTACTAGTGAGGACTGACTTTTTTTTTTGTTTGCTTAGAATTTTTTTTTTACCTGGTGGCTATATGTTTTGGCCAGGGGCTCCTGTTTCTATTTTGCTTTATTTTGTTTTTACAGATTTGTGGAGCTGTCATTCACACATCAAGCTGCATAACCAATCACCACGATTGAGCTTTAGAACATTATCATCACCCCAAGAAGATTCCTCCTGCCTCTCTGCAGCCTCTCCCCACTCCCAACCCCCAGGCCCCAGCAACCACTAATCTGCTTTATTTCTTTGTTTCTTTTTTTTTTTGGTGGTTGGCTCAGGGGATCTGAACCTGTGACCCTGGTGTTATACCACCGCGCTCTAACCAGCTGAGCTAACCGGCAGCCCCAGTCTGCTTTCTGAGTCTACAGGTTTGCCTTTTCTGGACATTTCGTGTAAATGGAATCATACAGTGTGGTCTTTTGCATCTGGCTCTGTCAGCATAATTCGAGGTTCATTCATGTTGCTGCATGTATTGGTGCCTTGTTCCTTTACACAGCTGAGTAGTATTTCATCATAGTATGGGTGGGCCACAGCTCGTGCATCTGTTCACCTAGTGATGGACGCAGGCTGCCTCTAAGAGTATAATAATCTGTGTGATCTGTGTCACCCATTGGCACCCATGGATGAACCTACACCTACAGCTCAAAAGGGGTGGTGATGTTTTTTCCCACCTCCAGTGACCCGGACTCTCCTCCCCCAGTTGGTCTCAGCCTCTATTGTTGTCTCCTGCAAAATCATCTCTTTGGTCAGACCTGTTGGACTCCCTGACACATCCTGCCAGCCGGAGGAGGCACGTGCATTCTGTGCTCACGCGCCTGGCACGGAGATGCATCTAACCTAATGGGGAGAGTAGGAGAGACCCCGGACTGGGGCAAAGATGGAGGAGTTTGAACCCCACCAGGTGGCCCTCTTCCTGGGAGCCTGGCACAGTCCCCTGACTTGCCTTCTAATTTCAGGGACACCTCGATCCTCACTCCTGTGGATAGCGAGCCTCGCCGGGCCACTCCTTGCTGGGAATGTTGCTGGCTTGCTTTGGTTTCTTAGTGTCAAGCCATAGGAGCTGCCTTTGCTGTTGACCTTGTTTGAGTCTGATTCTGCTCCTTCCACGGCAAACAGCCTTGAGCGCGTTGCTTCCTGATGACCTGTAGCCCTGCAATTGGAATGGAAAATAAAAACAATGATATTATGCAATTATACCATTAGTTACATATTATTGATAATGACAGGTTGCAAATGCCTTCTGTGCAGCGAATTGCCCTCTAGGTCACTAAGTAGTTTGTAACCAACTCCCCCTGGCCCTGCTTTTATTTATGTATTTATTTACTTTTTAGGCAGCTGGCTGACCGGTAGGGAGATCCAAACCTATGACCTTGGTGTTAAAAGGCCGTGCTCTAACCAGTAGGCAACCCGGCCAGCCCCCTATGGGTAATGACAGAGCCATTGTGAAGAGGAAATCTTCACATAGAGGCAAATCTTATGTGTGAGGGGTGAATCGTGCAAGGACCCATTTAATGTTATTAAAGTTTATTTGTAAAGTTCCACATCTTTCGGGACAGGCTACGACTGGGTATTTCTGGATGCCTGAAACAATTTCTTTGGAAAAGGAAGGGATGTAAATATCTTTCGGATTCATTTTTGTTCCACTTTCCATTTTTTTTCTCGAGGTGAAATTCACATAACAGAAGGCAATCGTTTTGAAGTGTACAATTTAGTGGCAATCAGTACATTGACAGTGTTGTGGAACCACCACCTCTATTTAGTTCTGGAACATTCTCATCACCCCCAAAAGGAAACCCCGTGCAGTCACTCCCTCCCCAATAAATCATTTATTTCTAAGAGGCTGAAGAGAGTGTCGAGGTGTTCTAGTTATGTCTGATATCCCCTACCCCTGATATTTATTCTTATGGCAGTTATTCTGGGCCTCTCAATGCACAGGCTTGTTTCCTTCCTCGGCCCCATGCTGACTCTTCCACCCACTGTTTGGGAACTCCCAGCTTCTCCCACCAGGAGCCGGGCCATGGGGCTGGCTGAGGAGCACGGAGACCTCCATTCCCTTTTTGTCACTGAAGTTCCGACAGGACACTTGGATGGCAGCAGAATCAGCCCTCTTTACAGATGGGGAAGCTGAGGCTCAGAGAGGGGCGTCTGGTACTTTGATCCCGACACACCATCCCCATCTCATCCCAGTTCTTTAATAACCAGGTCAGTGCAGGCCCACCTGCCTAGGGGAAGGAGTGGGATCCGCCCAGGTGTACAAGGAACGAGGGTGGGCAGCAGATCAGCTGGCTTTCTCCTCTCGGTCTGCACACCCGTCTGGTACTTTGATCCCGACACACCATCCCCGTCTCATCCCAGTTCTTTAATAACCAGGTCAGTGCAGGCCCACCTGCCTAGGGGAAGGAGTGGGATCCGCCCCGGTGTACAAGGAACGAGGGTGGGCAGCAGATCAGCTGGCTTTCTCCTCTCGGTCTGCACACCAGCCGTCACCAGGCCCAGGACCCAGAATAGAAGGACCATGGGGCCGTCCCATGTGATGCGTGGCAGGAGAGACTGTGGTTCATTCGGAACAGAAATGGCCCCCTCGGGAGATGAGCATTGTGGACGTCGGGCAAATGTCTGGCACATGGTCCCAGTGCTGTGAACACTTTCCTGATTGAATTAGGGGGATGGGGTAGGAAAATTGTAAAGAAAGCCAGGCTCTGACTAAGAAATAACCATAGCATTGTGGGATAAATGGTGTCCCCCAAAAGATAGACATGTCCACGTCCTAACCTCTCTGTACCACTGTCTGTGACTCTTCTGGAAATAGGGTCTTTGCAGATATAATTGTGAAAGATCTCGAGATGAGGTCATCCTGGATTTCAGGTGGACCTTAAATCCAGTGACAGTTGCCCTTATAAGAAAAGAGGAGGGGAAACAGGCACAGAGAGGAGAAAAATAAGGCTGTATGAGGACAGAGGCAGAGATCAAAGTGATGTCTCCACAAACCAAGGACGCTGATGATGTCTGGAAGCTACCAGAAGCCGGGAGAGAGGCGCGGGACGGATTCTCCTTCAGATCCCCTGGAAGGACCCCCAGCCTTGCCCACACCTTGATTTTGGACTTCTGGCCTCCAGGACTATGAGGAAAGAAACTTCTGTTGTTGGAAGTCATCCAGTTTGTGGTCATTGGTTACAGCAGCCCTAGGAGACAC